CATCCACAAGAGCAGCCCTAAGGTTGTTTTTATATCACTGTTTTGGAGACCCTCCATAATTAAGATGTACATGGAGCCTGATCTTATGAATGATTCATCTTTGATGGGCATGATTTTTTGTGACATGACGGGAATTATGAATGAAATCACACATACAGACTATGTGATTCTTTGCAAGGAGGTAGGCTGCATAAGGAGAAGATGCACATGAATGTGTACCAGGCGGTGTTTGTTCACTCTGGGTGAGCAGCCATGGGGATGGATCAGCATCTGTAGAGTTCAGCCATGTGGAAGCATCAATCTCACTGTTTCTCTGCCACTGAGAGCTCGTGTGGGATGAAGGGGAAATGGCAGACATATCTGTGTGCCTAGGTTCACAATATGGCTGGATTCTATAGAGGTCTGACAGCCCAAACCATTTCAGTGGCTCCAGTATGAAGGTTGTTGCTAATACTTGTCAGAAAATTGTAATGTGGGACAAGGTATGCAGGACAGTTCTACAAAGTGAGCCTGGTTGCCTGTATTTACTTGCAGCTCATTATCTTCTGTATCTATTCCTTCAAGATCATGGGGTGTTTGGGTGTCCTAGACCAGCCTTCCCCAACCTGCGTATCTCTAGATATTTTGGACTATGGGTCCCACCAACAGGATAAATGGTCATGATCTTGGGAGTTGCAGTCTGAAATGTCTGGAGGTTGCCAGGTTGGGGAATGGGAATCTAAAACACGTCACTTTTACAGTTATTCCAAACTATTGCATTTACTTAATGTTAATACAGGACATGGTGCAGTACAATTTGAGCATGTTGAGCCCCTTTGACTTCAACAGAAAAGAGTGGAAGAATGGTTCGTTGTTTCACTGAAACAAGGGGAGTTAGAATTGCTTCATTTTAGACAGTGCCCAAAATTGCTGATCAATTGAAAAATGAACCATGGAACACTGAACATCTTAAGCTGTAATTCTATACACACACTTAACAGGGAGAAAGTAGATAGGAATAGGATTGCACCACTAATCCCATCCAATAACATTTTCTTCTATGTGTAAACACAAGGTTCTTTTATACAATGACATTATATGAACCATGTTAACACTCATGCTTAAAAGACGAGTACTGAAAGTTACATATCTAAAAATATGACACCGGACAAAAACAAGATGCAACGGAGTTAATCTAGACTGTTTCCTTATCAAATGCTGCCCATAACGATTTAAGAACACACATGCAATTTAAAATTTGTTGTAAGAATTGCTGAACAGGAAATGCCTTTCAGCAGAGCAGAAGGCACACACCAGATACTGCATTCACTTTTTCATACAGAGATGAACTAAGTCCCATTCTTTCCAGTGGGTCTCCTCTATGTACACCCGTCTCTAAATTCAGCATGCTGTGGACAGTCCTGTGCTACACATGCTAATACGTGTGCATAACACATATGTCTTCATCATTTGTGTTAAGATTATAACTGTGCATTTAGAACATTTTCCACAAACTTAACAATCCACATGAGTGAAGCAATTCTTGATTTCAAGGGGATTTTAAAGCAAAGTGGATACTCTTTCTCTTTCTAACGTTGGGACTGGTATTTGCTAATATGGAAATAGTGAAATTAGGTTTGCCATATGCTTGTCAGTGGATTGTTGTTTTAAAATACTCATCTTATTTGACAAAATGCACACAACTTGCTATATGTAAAGGTAAATAAAGGACTATGGAAAGCTCTGAATAATGAGATTGGTTATTTGATAATATGCTTCCTGTATACCTGATCCAGCCACTAAATGCTATATGTCTCATCACCATCACTTAAAGCTAGGAACTGTACAGTATAAAGACCATTCCCTAACATACTTTCATCAGTGGTGCTTACTGTGAGTGGTACTGTCAGTACCACCATCAGTGGTGCTTACTGTCAACTAGGGAAAGAGATTGTACCTGTGGTCAGTTTACCATGTGTAAGATCGAAGCCAATGCCCTACCTTCTTCCCTGCACACTACAGAGGGTGAGTGACCACTGGGACACATGTGCACCTCAGGCTTACTATATTTGGACCAGGTACAGTGTCCTGCAATAGTCTTCAAAGAGAGCCCTATCTGGAGTGCAGGAGCCATAAGGTCATCCATAAAGGTTACTAGCTATGAGGAGTCCCAGGGGAAAGGCAGCAGATGGAGTTGGTGAAGAGGCCTTAGTGACTGACAGATTCAGCCTCATAAACCATTTGTCCACGTAGTGGGAGGTCATGGTGCCCCTCCATAGGAACGTTAAGTTTTTTGCCATATGTTTCCCAGAATGCACCGTTTCCTTCCCCCAACATGTACTCCACATAAATGAAAGCCTGTATGCATACAGAGATGTCCATATACAAATACAGATAACATCAGGTTTGAACATAAAAGGCGTGATTACAGACTTCTGTTTACAAAGACAGAGCATGGACAATTATTTTAACAGGAAGAGGTTGCCCTTTAATGAGGATGCAGTTCTCGGCAGATAGGCAAGGAAAAGCTGGCGCAAGTGACAGTCCTGGGAGAAGCAACGCTATGAAAAAGCATGGTGTCAAGTGAGTGCAGCATGCGTTACCATAGCAGCAAAATATTTTGGGTAGGGAAAAAAAAGAACATGCATTTGAAAACAAGAAGCGGCAGCAGAGACACAGATGGGGCCTTCTTATTTAGCCATTGCAATGGCCTCATAAGTAAGAGATTTTGAAACAAGAGGAGCTACTTAGAAGGGAAATGGGAGAAGTTAAAACACAGAGTTGTTAGAGAATTTGTTACTTTTCAGGGCTGTTTCATAGACAAGTGCAACAGCTTGGGGTTTTATGATCCTGCAGTCAAAGTATGCAAATTAAAGATAACCTCCAGCAGCTTCCATATTGTTATCACTCAAAACTTTCAGGTTTGAAACAGCAGCATAACAGAGAAGAAAAGCTATGAGAATGGTTCAAACATATGAATTCAAAGCCTAATAACTAGGTGCCAAATTCTTTAGGCTAGGGGAAACCTGGCAATGCAGTTTGGGCCATATGGTACCATACCCTATTTGAATAGCTGTGCCCTCGGACAGGTGAGCTGCAAGATCTCCTCGTGGTAACAGGGCTACGAGGAGGCTTGCCGATGACAAACATCTCTCTTTTAAAATCAGCCTGGAAAAACCGTAAACACTGGGTAAATTCATCTGAAAGATGAGACGGGCATTATTTTGATGTCGTTCCATTCTTGCTCTCAAGCACCACAAACTAGTTTTTCATCTCCAAAGAAGCCTTTCCACAAAAGACATGCAGATCTGTTAATGCATCCAGGCCTGAAAAACTATTGCTATCTCCTATAGCATATGCACACTGGCCTCCAACCTTACAGTTACAGTACCTATAGGTTTAGATTTCAATCCAGCCCAGGACACATTCCAACTCCGTACATTGTCAAAATGCATCTATAGAACGTACAGGAGCACCCCAAAGGCAAGCACACATCTGAACATTAATCACAAGCAGGAAATACTAATAGCTGACAGTGTAACGTATGAGCGATTGCTAACAGCTGTTGTGTAAGTGCTTGTTTTGCATGACTTCATAGGCAGGTAAAAGTGATATATATATGAAAGGAGATAAAGCAGATGCTACCTTAAATTAGATCTGAAAACTTGACTGAAAAAATGGGTGTGATTTTTTTTTAAAAAACTAATAAGACCTGAAGAGTGCTATCATATTTGAAGAAGTGCTGACATAAGCTTGCAGTTTTCACACTGTAACATTCCGAAAGCACTCCAATAAATGATTTGTTTTGATTAAAAGAGCACATGATTGATGGTTTTCAGTGGCACTTTACCACTACTCAGATACAGTATCTGTGAAAGACAGAGAGGGAAAATGCTAATAGGATTCCCAGCAGCATAAACATCAGGTAAACAACCTTCCTTGGAAGGGATTCCTAAATGGTGGAGTGGTATTTGTGCCACTGTGGAAACCTTGTGAATGGCTAGCTACTTTGGTTAGAAAAGAGGCTTTGATTCTCTCCTTGGCTTGTCTATTCCCACTGGGGCTTCCCAGACCCTGGGGAGGGGGGCAGCAGCTAAGTGCTTCTGTGAGTATGGGCAAGCCAGCATGCCAGTGTGTTATTTCTGGCCCAGCTTTGCTTATATCTTCTTGAACCATCAGTGGTGTAGCTCCTGGCAATGGAAATGAATCATCTTGCTATAACACAAAGAAAAATCCTTTTACATAAATGTTTGGTGGTTTGGTCTGTGTTCTGGTGAGATATCTATGGGTAAGTATACATCAGCATATAGCCTTATCATTAACCGGGCATATCTATCTATCTATCTATCTATCTATCTATCTATCTATCTATCTGATAAAAACCTACACCATAAAAGTAAATGGTGTTTTTCCATTAGATTTAATAGACTTTTGATGCAGTCCTTACTGTTCAAATTTATGTAGCAAATAACCCTGGAGCCTTAAAGGGGAATCAACATTCAGATACAACTGCGGGAGGTATGAATGATGGATGAGGCATGTGTTCCAACATCTGATTTTTGCTGATCTTTTAAAGTTTGGGATGTTTAAATTATCATCCACTGATTTTGGACAGTTTCATCGAGACCAGCATGTGCTCAATTGCACTCAGTGTATTTAGGACAGGGGGAATGAAGTGACTGAAGTACATTTAAAATACTTTGCTTCACAGCATTTTGCTCTGATTACATGCCTACATTATTAAACATTAGTCACCAGCACATCTGACATTTAACAATTAGGTTAATCGCCAAGCTTTTCATTTGTCAAGCATTTGAGAAAACATGCAGTATTTCATCATTCAGTAGACAAAGTTACCTTTAACTTTGGTGAACTTTTCTCCTGTCTGTATGACAGTTTGGAAAGGAGAGGGGGTGAGTGGGTAACAGCAGACTTGGAAGATGCCGAAACACATTCAGAGAAAGATGCTTTGGCTGAGTGCAGTGGAGGACTAGGAACAAGGCAGGAAGGAGGAATGGAAGGTGCTTGCATCCCACATGGAGGTGAAGCTGGCTTGAACATTTAAAGAGAGGCGACAATAATTGTGTGGAAGAGCAATTGCAATGGTAAAGCACAGAGAGGAATACTGTACCACCATCAGTGAAAGGAGATGCGCCCCCCTCAACCCACCCACAGACTGCGGTGTTCAGCAGGTTTAGCTCATTACCTGTAGAGTTACTAGAAGCACAGTCTGTGCTCAGCAGGAATGCTGGCTTGTTTTCCTGGACTGAAGAGCCCTGCTCCTTAATCTGGCAAGCTACATTTTAAATTCTCCCATATTTTAAATAATTGTTGAGTGAGACTCAGACAGTGACTGTGCATGCCACGTACATGCGTGGAAAAGGCGTGTTGCATCACAGCCGTTACCTGTAAGATCTATGATTTACATCAAGGATAGTTAATGCCTGCCATTCTTGGAGATGGGCTGCATGTTCTATTTTCAAGGCAAGGGCCTGAAGTGTATTTTTTTCATGGATTTGATCAGGCTCTTAATGACTGGACTAGATGAGCAGTCTGACTTAATGAGCAGACTGGAACAATTTCTATCCCTCTACATTAAATGAAAACTATCAGGGCCCTGAATATGTATTCCATTTTTATTCTGCCTGCTCTGGGCAGCAAAAAAATGTGTGTTCTTCTGTCCATCTGTCTGTCTACTTGCAAGCAACCTGGCAGGTCACAGTGCATGGCAGTGGAAGGCTGTTAATTTGGTGGGCTACACACTGTGCAGGACACTGAATACCCTCTTTAATTATGTCATCCTTTGGCAGCAAGGACTTCAGGGTTATAGAACACGCGTGCTCTTCAAGAGAGGCCCCAAGTGTCTCTTCTCTGTGAGTCATTTGGTTGGTGGGAGGCCAACTCATGGCCTTTTGTGCAGTGGCACCCAGCCCTGAAATCTCTTCCCCAGGGAAGTTAGGCTGGCCCTCTCATTATTGGACGATAGGCAGTTGGCAAAAACTTTTACCGTTCTGCCAAACTTTCAGTGGTTAATGCCACTCCTTGATTTCAGAAGGTTCATTTGCCCAGTTTTGTAATTCATGAATTTTGTCTGTTCTATTTTTAGTTTTTTAAAAAAATTGCTCCTATGGTTTTATTGTGAGCCTGCACTGAGTGGAGGGGTGTTTCAAAACCACATTAACTAAATAAACATGTGCCATAGCTGAGATATCACATCTCTCTAAGGAGAGATGTAACATTACACTGCCGAAACAATCTCAGCCGAACACTTGAACTTGAAAGCACTTTCCTCATTCTTATGAGTGAAACTATTGCAAATATTTGAGCACACTTTGATTAAAATTTGGTAGATCCACCAAATTTTGGCTGTTTCTTTTTTTCATTAATGGCTGAAGGGCGAATTTATACTGGGTGTGGGCAACCCCTGCTGTTGTGAGAATATTCCAAAGAAAGCACATGGGGCTCTCTGATCCGAATGTGGACCACTGCCCATGAGGAGGAAAGGATTCAGCCCTCACTTGGCCATTTAGAAGAAGAAGAAATTCTACTTGTGCTCATGCAGGCTCCCCCTTCCCCCTTTTTAATGCCTTGTGGGGACCAATTTTTAAGAGGGAGGTTTCAGAAGGGGGAAGGATTCTATTTCTGTTCACATTGTGGTCCTTGTATGGAATCCTGCTCCACATGATTACATGACAGTGAACAAAAGCAAGAGAAGGAGCTGCATGCTAAGTACCTAATGCAACAGGCACTTTGAATTAAATACTACATGGTAGGTTGCTACCAACAAGGACTGCATGAATGGGCCTCATATTTCATTGAATTAGAGTTATGCATCTCCTGTGTATGGATAATGTGAGACAGCACTAAGTTCAGTGGGAATTCTCAGAATGAATAACATCTTGGAAACCAGCAGGTTAAATTAGATAGCAAACTAAAAATACATGGACAATTTGCTGAAGGACTTATTGAAGGTTCTTGGGGCCAAATTGGATGATACATTAAATACATGATTGGATTTATAATAATAATCATATTAAAGATTAAATCATACCATATATTTAACCTTTAAAATTAACAGCTATGTTGGGGTAGTGAGAGAGCTAAAGCAGATAGGTATTTCCTTATCTCAGAAGCCTCTACCTGCCCAGAGGAAAACTGCTAACCACACAAAGAGCAGCTTCCCATCTAGGAGAATAGCTGCACAACTGTGGGGAATCATTGGGAAAATCATGTGGGTGTTAAAGGATCAAGAAGCCCTTCCTCTGTGCCATGGACCCAAGCTAGATTAGGACCCCCATGGTTGCTATTTTTAGGTAAGATGTGCCAGTGCAATTGCACATTTAATGTAAGTTCTAGGTTGGTCCAAAGGTGGATTGAGGACTATGCCTCCCTCACCAAAGGCCCCATGGAAGAGGCCAACTGTTTCTGCATTCCTGCTCAGAGCCAGAATTCATGGCAGCTGGAAGGAAGAACGGACAGACGGACGGAAGAACAGAAGGAAGGAAGGAAGGATTCAGATCAGAAGAGTATTATAGTACAGGTTTACATTTCTTCCTATCTCTGAAGGAATGGAATCAGGAATAAGAGAGGGTTGTGTCTTAGTGTGCTTTTACTCTTCCAAATGGCAATTTATAGTAGAAAGACACATGCAGAAATACACAAAATGGAATGGTTAGACTTGAATTAACAATGCCAATGCAGGAATTTATCTTAGGAAGTTTAAATACCTCTTTTTTAGTATCTGGTGCAATGTTCCCTTCACAAGGTGTCATAGGTTCTGTCTTAATTGTTACTGGTGATTCTAAATTGTCTTGGCCTGGCTCTTCCTCTATGTGAAGCCTCACCAGTTGCTCTGTTACGTCAGGGGCACGTCTGTAGAAACCTGAATTTTTACATTTTGACTGCCCTGGTTGGATTATCGATAGCAGCTCTTCACAGATTTCTTCTTCCTGCTTGTCAGTCTCCATCAGTGCTCTGAATAATGGCTGCTCTTTGCATACAAGAGGCCCAGGGCCTGCTATTCCTCGCATTTCTGGAGCCATGCCTGAGATGCTTTTCTTTTCCTTGATAGTGGGAGCTCCTCTCATCTCTTTGAAATTGCTGCGATCGGGCTTATGTGCTTGGTCATGAAACGGGGTCACTGGAGGAGGTGATTTACAGGTAGATGAAGAGAATGGCTGAGGTGATGTTGGAGATTCAGGGAAGGAGAGGAAAGCCTTTGGCGAGGCAATTGGAACAAAATGGCCATGCTCTGCTTGAGAAGTGATAATATCCGAGAGCTCTGGAGCACTCTGCAAACTTATTAAAGCTAGAGAGCTGAGTTCCTCTAAATTGGAAAGAAGGCTTTTAGGAAAAGGTGGAGGAGAAGGGGAAGATATGCATGGAGATGAAAAGCCAGGAGTCAGTGATAAGCATTCATCGGTGACAGCCAGAAGATTCCCTTTATTAGAATCTGGACAAGAAGAGGATCGATACCTGAGTGGAGGGGATGATGCTTTGGAATCCAACTTGAGAAATAAGGGAAAGCATAAGAATTAAAACAAAGTGAAAAAAAGGCATTGGGCTTATATATGAGTGTTATTTAAGAAAAGGCCTATGTCATCTTCTGGCCATAGGATATTATTTCATTGAGCATAAATGTCTGCAATCATTAGCACATGAATCAGAAGAGCAGAAAGCATATCTGAAAAGTGAAACTGTATCAGGTTCTTGCCCAGGGCTTAAATGTCAAGCATCAAGACAGGTCTGAATCACTGAGTTCACGGAGTGAATTTGATCTGTGAGAGCTATGGGCTTTACTGTCCTTTAGTAAGCCTCTGACTAATGACCCAGATGTGTTTACCAGAACTTCCCAAGCTTTAGCTATTATTATTTTGAAAGCAGAGTGGTGCTGTCTGAAAAAGAAAACACAGTTCTGGATTCCATCAAATACTAATGGATGTTATTCCCACTGGGCAATTGTGGGTTGTTCAATCTTTTCATTGCTTGATAAGGGAACCTGGCAGAGACATCTTAATACAACTTCACCCCACTGTTACATCCTCTGTAGCTACACAATGCATGTTTAAATCTAAAATTAATAACTTCTGCACATAATCATATCTCCCTTACAGGCACACAGCATTCAAATGCTACTTAGTGTACACCATTGGCAATCAATGTAAACAGATATACAAGTATTTTGAATATCAGTATTGAGTGATTATTGCAAAAGGAAATTTGATTGAAGTTTCCTTCTTGTAAAATAAAGGTCCTTTTGTAAGAATGGTAGAGTTGGAGTCATACGTATATCGCATCGGTGGATATCCATTGCTTCAATAAATACTGAAAATGTAGTTTTTGTTGTTATTAATTGTCAAAATGAAAACTTTATCTGAGAAGAAAAGAACTTTGACATCACTCTTAGAAGGGCTGACATCAGCTCTGTAAATATGGGAAGCTGCCTTATGAACCAAGAGAGACCATTGGTCCATCTAGGTCATACTGTCAATACTTTCCAGGCCTTCTTAGAATACCTGGAAGCCCAGCTGCCGCATCTATTTTCCTAGAAGGTGCCGGGATGGCACAACGCCAAGATGTCACCCTAAGAAGCTGCGCAGAGGGGACGGGGGTGGAAGGGAGAGCACCTTTTAAACCTTCCTCCTGCAAAAACTAACTATGTTATTTTTATGACATTCCCAGCTACTACCACCCATTATCAGTATGGAGGTGGGGAGGATTCAATGACTGTTGATGCTCGTATCAGACTCAATAGAGCTCTTTTGTTTCCCTCTGCTTTCCCTGCTTGGCCCTTGGCCAGGTAAAAGCGCTCTGGAACATACCCAGCCATATGAAAAGCTTATCTGCCTCTCTCCAACCCCCCCCCCCCCCCCCGGAGGGAGAGAGAGAGAGAGATTGATTGATTCACTAGCAGCCTGTGCACATAAATCTGGAAAGTAGAAGGTTGCATAGATCTGGATCCAGGAGGTGTGTATGGGCTTCCCCATATCTGTGTACCTTTATGTACACCCTCTTGGAAAAGAACTGGCAGGGAAAGAGATGGAAGGAGATTGACTTATACTGCCCCTAAGAGATGGCTAGACTCTAGCTGTTAGAATATGCTTTGCATTGATCATGTGGCAAACCCAGAATGAATTAACCAATTGTATTTGTCATGCTCAACTTTGAAATAAAAGTGGAAATATCTTAACTGTCATTGGAGAAATCCTTTGAACACAGGGGACAGGAGAAGGGGGCCCTTTGGAAAGGTATCTGCTATTCTTGTTAAAACCTTTTCTAAATTAGGATCACTCTGTAGCTTTGGAAGCATCATGAACAATGACACTGGAAATGATAATGTAACACTAACATACAACAAATGCATCGAGATAAAATGAACTTAATACATTTTGAATAAGGAGAATTTATCCCTTTTGTTGATGCTGCTGCTTTTCTCAAATAGTTTATGTAGGAAGTGTTCATTAAGTACTAATTGCACTAGTGCACAAGCAAGTTAACCTTACTGACACCTGCAGGTGTAAAAACATTTTTAGTTAAACTATGCAATTAAAAAGACAGTGTTACCTTATATCCAAGTAGGGTTTATTATAGTTTTACTGTATGTTTCTCCCAATATCTGACAATAATCATGACCTTTGCTTAGAATGAGGTGGAAGTGTGAGATGGCAGAAAGACAAATATAGTATACATTTTCATGATAAAAATACAAAGTCCTGAAATCAAACAGTGCCGCATTTATTACAGGGTATCACTATGTGGGGCTAGACAGGTTTTAGATTGAGTCCATCGGGGGGCTACAGATGGGCACCTGATGGATTGCTGCTGCCACCTGTGCTGCTCCCTCAACAACTGGAACAGCCTTCAGCAAAAGTGAAGTGCAAGCAGCATTGGTACCCTCTATGTATATGCATAAGGATGACCATACCTGCATAAGGACGGCACGATGGTACTTGTTTGCATCATGGCTACACACTAATAGTGCAAATTCTGCATGTGGCTCACCACTGTTTTCAAGTAGTGAGGGATGAGATGGAGAGTAACACAGAAGGACAATAAGACTCTCCCATCTGTCCTTCCCTAACACAGACTAGCCAAGGTGAAGATCCAGTCAGAGCTATCTTAAATGTTCCTTCTAGGCTATTCAAGCAAAGATTACAAGGACAAGAAGGCTGGCAGAAAGCGATCTAGATCTACTGCACTGGCAGATCCTTGGGAGACTTGTAGTCAACCTACAGGGGTTTCTGACTGCTACTTGTTTTAACAACCATTCCAAAAAAAAAAAAAAAAAGCCTTCCCCCTCTCTGTCTAAATTAGACCGATGAAATAAAGAACAAGTGATGGGAGAAGGGGAGGATTTAGGGTATTTTTAGTGTGGGGAAGTCTTGTGAGCACATTTCAGCTCTGAAAGTTAAAAAATGAAATAAACAAGACAAACATTTCTGTCCACTGAATTCTTTCAGGGTGCAATCCTATATATGTTTAGATAGAAAAAAGTCCTACAAGGATTAAATATGTCGAAACATGTTTTCCTGTCTAAGCTTGCATAGGATTACACTCTCCATCTAAGTGTTTCCTTTTAGCACTTGGACCCAGTTGGTGGATTTCGGGTTCTAGAAAAAAAGTAGCTCCTATAAACTTGATGTCTACCATAACATGCTCTCTGTTGTTGCTGTTGTTGTTGTAAATAAATATTTCTTTCTGTGTCATTTTTTAAATTCAGAGTCCCCCCATTTGCACTCACTCAACAAATCTGCTTGGATGCTGCATTTTCAAGCTGACCTATGATGAAAAGATGTATGAGTTTCTGTGCGTGTGTAAGAACAGATGCTTCAGACTGCAGCTCTAAGCATTCATACACACCTAGTTGCACTGAGATGAATGGGGCCTATTTCCTTGTAAAGGAAAGGTGGGAAGGGCTGGGTTGTCAAATCAGGTACATCCATGTTACTGGTGGGTTTTATTTATTTTCTCTTAATTTAGGGAGGCCAATGAAAAGCCCACTGCATTCAAAATATTTCAGGGCAAAGTGATATTCAGTTGCTGTATGGTGTAGAAATTTGGCATTGGAACAAGAAAGCTCTTGTCCAGCTAGAAATAATTAAAAACAATTGGGGGTTTCCCACAGGGCATCCCTACTGCCCACTTCAGGAAGGAGGCAGGATGCTCTCAATTTCTGTAAGAGCTCACCTGTCATTGCTAAAATTAAGACATTACACAGTCTTCTGGAATGATACTTTGGTAAATCCTGTACTGGTACTACTGGGAAAGAAACCAGTGGTCAAAGATGTGGCATTCAGTTCTGCAAATGGACTCCTTACCCACAGTAGAGGACATAAAGACCTAGAATTTAAAAACATCATGACTGGCTCCTTGAACAGATTGATAGCCGTGATGCTGGCTTGCCCCAGCATTCAGAGTTCTCCTTGTGGTACCCCTTCTGTAAGAAACTGATTTATTTCACAGTTTTCCTTTAATTGGGGGGGGGGGCTCATTAAGGTGGGCAGTTTTAAGTCTGCCTTTTAAATCTATACCCTCAGCATATTTTGAGGGCAGATTCTGCAAAGTTCCTGTGGTGCAGTACCTTTGCCCCTGTGTTCAGGGACAAGTGGAAGACATTAAATGTTATGTCTTACATGGCCCATTTTGTGATACACTTAGAAACAAAACACTGGGCCAGATCATAGTTAAATTCTCAGGCTTAGAAGAACAATGCATTCACTACTTGTTGGCAGATGCAGTTCCACAGGTTAGCTACCAAGTGGCCATTTTTACACTTTCAAAATCAGAAAGAAAATGGCATTGTCTGATTTCGTTAATTATTTTGCTAAACTTTCGGATTAATTTTATTATTAGGATTGTTTTAAGCATAGACTTAACCATAGATGGATTTTAACATTTTATTTGTATCTTAGTATTTAATCATATTTGTTCTTATGTAAGTTTATTGTGTTATGACCTGTGTTTCAACAATTCAGTTTTGCTACTGCTACTGCTACTACTGGTGTGACTGCCATGGTGTACTGGGTTTAATTTGAGCCAGCATCTAACTGCAAAATCCTTTAAAAATAAAATAACAGGAGATCAGTAAGAAGCAGCAGCATAAGAAGCATGGCATGGGCCCTTGCATCTAAAAAGCAGAACCATGCCACCTGTTAGCAGGACAACACAAATGTGGGATCAAGTAGAGATAACTTCGACAACCATAGCAATGAGTCTGGGGCCCATTTGTTCTTAATACAGCCAGGACCAATATACCACTAAGAGAATCAAATGAAAAGATTTAAGGAATCCCTTCAAAAACAGGCAACACAATAGTGGGGGGAAAAGCAATGCAATCTGTTATCATAACAGAGAAAGGAACATGAAATACAACTTACTTGTGCTGAATACTTGGTCATTTCAGTCAAACTGTACTGATTTCATTAGTGCTCGCAATGTTTCTGTGATGGAATACAGTGTAGACATGGTGAAAAGAACCAGGTCTTTCTTACCTTACATGCACCGAGACTGTGTATTCGGTCACTGGAGTAACTCTGGGGTATCGGAGGAGCAGAGTGCTCATCTGCACCTTTGGCTGCATTCTTCTTGAGAATTTCAACGTAGGACACGGGGAAGATTCCCTGTCGGTTGGTTCCAGGTAGTTTGCCTTCATACCAGTTTTGATCAACCCGCCTGAGGAGAATTATTTTGTCTCCCTGTAAAACAAAACCCATTAACAGCTGGGAGATGCAGTACACATCTTCACATCTTCATTACAAGAGTAACATAAATCTGTGTCTACAGACTCTGTCTTTTTTCATTTTGACTCAAGTAGATGCAGGAGGCTTGATCTGGATATGCTACCCCTCCATGCTGAGATCACAATCCTTGCCCCTATTCTAGACTAAAACTGAACAGCAGACATGGTAGCTAGACAAGCTTTAAAGTACTTTCTGTTTTAGCCTGGAGACACAGAGAAGCGTTCCAGAGTACGCCGGAAAGTTCCAAGCATAAAACTCATCTCAGCTAGGTGGAATTAGACACAAGACAAGGTACCATTCATGCAGTGGTGATTGCACAAATGGTTTAAAAAAAATGGGTTGGGCAGTTATTGGCTGGGACCCTAGTATGGGATGTTGGATGCAGTGTGGCTTTAACCCTTTGTCCCCTGCTTCAGAGATTGCAGCCTCTGAATCTGGACCCATTGCATCTGAAGTATCTTCACCCAACACCTCTCAAGAGTGTCTTTGTTAGCAGTACACTGAAATGGAGGCTGGGGAAGAGAAAGAGATAGAGAGGAAAGGGAGTGGTCCTCTCATCCACTGGCAGGTGCCCCCCCCCAAATACCCCAGAAAAAGTCATTTGGCACCCCTGGTTTGAAAGTGCACTTTCTACGGACCCTTTTCTCACTTACCTTCCTCAGTGACAGTTCCACATTTGTATCAGCATTGAAATTATATTTGGCAACAGCTTCTCCAATCTCTGCAATGTGTGCTGGGGGCGGCGGCCTTGCCGGCTGTGCTTTTTCTGGGGGAGTCAGTTTCTGGGAAGAGAAAGATGGTTGCTCTAATCAGTCCAATTCAAATTTTTGTTGGTAAAACTAATGTGGAAGTAAAGAAAAGCAACAATGCATGAGCAGCCAAACCTCAACATAAGAAATCGGAAAAATCCCAACTCTTCCATAGTGCTCGCCCTCGTACCAGTTTTGATCCACTTTCCTGAGGATATAGACAGTATCTCCTTTCTTAAATGACAGCTCCCTGTAACAGATGTATATAAACATAAACAGCAATAGGTGTGTGGATTTTCTAACCACAAAAATTGTACTTCAAAAGGCTTTTACACTGTTCTACTTTGAACATTAATTGTTATTAAATGTTGTTAGTGGAAGGTCAGCAGGATGGAATGCTTTTCTGTAACTCTGGGTTGTTGCGTTAACCCTGGTTAAAGATCACAGGGTGCAATGAAACCATAGATTAATCTACAGAGTTATGACTTACTCTTGGAAGACAGGTACAGGGAGTAATGAGCAAGACATGCTTGTCATCTTGCAAGCAAGGAGGCTCAGAAACTGCTTTAACAATGATTAAACTTCGCAGATGTAACACTCAGTCAAAGCAGTAGTCTTATTTTGACAAGACACTTTAAACCATGAGTTTGCATCCTGGTTTATGCCCAGTCTTCAGGTATAATGGGTGGGTTCACATGTCATGCTAAGCCACCCTAAAAATAAGCCACAGTGAGTTGATTAATATCATAACTTGTTCTGTGAACAAACAGCAGACAATGAGGATTGCTTGTTTTTCCCTTCCTTCCCCTTCATCCTCTAACCAGTATTCGCTCCTTGATCCAAGTGCCATCTAGTTTTCAGGTCATCAAATGTGGAACTGGGGTCATATTTTATGGCTTCTGAAAATAGGGCATTTTTAAACCATGCTTTTTGGTGGTCCTTCACAGGTCTCCAATGCACACTTAAAGCTAAGCAACATAAAATAATCTTGCCTTGTCAATTTCCTAATCTGTTTTTGCTGTTAAGAGGAAAAGAAGGCACGATGCACATAGCTTAATCTGAACAAGGTTCCAGCTGTCAACTGAAAGGCTCTCATACAGGGAAAAAGTGAGCAAACAGGTGCACCAAAAGGGGGTAGCAGGAATATCACCCAAGGTCACCTGTTTGTGAAAGATAACCCAACCCACAGAAACTGGGCTGATTATCCACAGTAGCTTGTTGTGTTGTGTGAACAGGATCAATGCTTGACATGGTTAAGCGAGAAAGTGTTTTCTCCGCTTAGCCAAAATAGTTCTATATTTCATTTGTTATGTCTATGAAAAAGTTAATCTGAAACAATCTAAAGCAGAGGTGGGCAACATGCAGCCCTTGGCCTCTTTTTGCGTTGCCTCCCAAGAACTGTGCGCGGCCCTAATGAAATCTGAAAAACAGGAGAGCTGGCAAAAATGCATAAGATGACAACACAGCAAGGTGCCTATAGCATCATCCCTGTACTGCTGTTAAGCTGGATCATGGGCAGGTGCATGCATAACTCACAGAACATGGTATCTAGGACAACAGGGAAATGATGCTCTAGCAACTGTGTGGCTGAGTCATGCTTTCCAGCCAGTTGTTCTATTTCTCAGGTTTTGTCGTGATGATGTATGTGTGTGTGTTTTGTGTGCATGCATGAATGCATGTGTCTGTGTGAACCGATACTGAGGTGTATGTGAGAGAGATAGAGAAGGAAGGCAGAGGGAGAGAGAGAGAGAGGAGAAAGACAGGAGAGAGAGAAGAAAGGGAGTACCCCCCATTTTTTTTTTAATTCAGATTCATTTATAAAATCCAAAATCCAATTTTAAAATCCTGCAAATATATGTAAATTCAATTTACTCCCTTGTTTTTCCAGGCATGTGGTTAATATTTGGGGGGTTATCAGGCTATCTGAGCAGATGAGGCAATGTTTTACTCCTAACATGTAGCAAGGGAATATGCTAGGCATCCGTGCACCTATGTAAGCCCACCTCAGACTTATTTTTACATGACATTTCACCTGGTTGCAGTGTACGTGCATCACAGGTGCAACCTGAAATTCTTTTCTCCTCCCTGAACAAATAACTATTCTGTAGAAAATGGATTAAGAGGACCTAACTTCAATACACCTTGAACAAATATTCAACAGAAAGCTTTCTGTTTTGAACTCTGATACTGTCTATTGAAAACACACCGGTTTGTTTTTTGTTTTGCAACATGTACATCTTTAGAAGCAACAGAAATGTTCTTTCAGTATCTCAGGCAACTCATCTTTAGTTTTTGCTCCCCTCCTTAAGGCCACACTATCATAGCTCTTCTTTCTCCAGTGGTATGCATCCACATCGGCCATTCAGTACTCAAGTTCCCCAGTCCAGCTCTTGTCACACAGAAATTATAACTGTACAACTAGAAAATGGAAGGGACTGTTCAATCAAATGTGCATGTCACTGAAGGTGACACAGTGCAGATCAACGATTTCTATTCCAATGAATGCCACACTTGTGATTCATAGTCCAACAGGTCATACGCACATGGAACAGTCTTGGCCCCACAAATCTCCTTGGCTGGATTAGGGCAAGGGTGGTTTTGTATATGAGTCAGACAGAGCAGTTAATAGCGGGCAGGGGAAGGAGGATGCATGAAGGCACCAGCAAATCTCCAATCCCAACCAGACACATGTCAGCAGGGCAGACAATGGCGGGGGAGAAATGGCTGGAGGGAAACACAAGGGAAACAAAATGGAAACTCTCCCTCCATTATGGCGTGTGTGTGTTGGGGGAATGTGATGGTTTGGGATCCAATAGGTCCAATGTCTTCCCAGAGGTGTCCCTTGCCTGCCCCCTTCTCTTACTCCTGTCTTCAGAGCATCAATGGCAAAGGGTGAAGGGCAGCAGAGGCTTCCCATGCCTTACATGGTTGGAACTTTTCTCATTCTGAAGGTGCAGAAAGACATCTGCTCCATCCTCTTAACACAAAGATCCCTTTAGGGACCCCAGGACTGCAGCCTAAGAAGCACTTTGCATGCTGAGCAAGCATATTAAAAAATATTGTACAGAATGTAGAGGAACTCCCTGCAACTCCATATTTAAGTTCCAAATTTACAGCATCTATAATGTGTGCCAATAGTGCAATAGGAGTTGAAAGGTGCTTTTAATGTCATGTGTTAAAACACTGATATCACACTGCAAAGCACCCCCTGCATTGTGAACAAGGAAAGAACAGACTTCAAATATTTTTGTTACGCATCCAATTATTTATGATGGTTTAGATGAATACTTATTTGTATTATTTCATAGTTAAATACTGCAGAGATTAATTTCTAGTTAAATTGTTGAGCATTTGGGTATTTCAGAATGTTTAAATCATATACAGTTTACCCAAAAAGGTTTAACTACATAAAAATAGGGACTTGTTTGTACCAATTAAAGCTGTACCACACAAGATGTTTTCTTCCTATGAACATTGTTCTAGCATCCATATAAATTTTTAAAAGGAAAAATAACTGTCAGCAATACTTACTTAGAGGTTTGAGCTTTAAAATCATATACTGCTCTAGCTGGCAGCCTCTGAAAAGTAGGCAAAAAAATTAGTCCACATGATGTATATTTAAAATAACGTGTAGGGAAAAATGGTTGTACATACTTTTCTGATGCGTCTAAGTAAAAATAAAATAAAAATGCTTCCAATGTCACTTGATATGCCATAGATGCTGCCTAGAATTTCTAGCTGCTACTGCCTGGGGATAAGAGCCCTTCTTAGGTGTTCGGTACGGACTGGTATCAAATAGGTGAAGTGGCATGCTAACTAGTTGCCAAGGCACATGGCAGGCGTACCTCCAGATGACAATGGACTGGTGTCAGTCCAACAGGAGCCAACGCATGTAAACATGCATTTCTCCATGGGGATGGCACTCCCAATCCATCTGGATTTCCATTCCTACAGAAGGCATCCTGTGCACATAGGTATGTGGGCCCCTCCATATGTGCACATGCTCTTCTCCAGACACCTGCCGATTCTGCCTCATCTGGGGTTACGACTGGTATGTGTACCGATATCCAACCAGGCAGTGTTCATGGTACCCAAGATGTGACTAGGCCTTCTCTTTAGTGTTAAATCTATTACTTCTATTACTTTTTTCTCAGGCGTTTGTAAGAGCTGTTGGACTAACAGTTCCCATACTAATATCATTTTTTGGAAAAGGAGAAAAGTATCTCCTGATGGCTGCATCAAGGCAGAGCATTTTTCTAAAGCCAGTAAAACTACAGAACCACTGGCCACTAGGATTAGGTTCTTTAGCAAGGAACATCTCTTTCCTTGTTGTAAATGCTCACAAGAGAACAATTAAAAGTTATATTTGAGTAAAGGCGAGCTTTGAAGGCCACAGGAGCGTAACTCAGTTTCTCAATGCAACATCTTGACAACACAGAATGTTTTGATAGCTAACAAGCTTGCAGATTTATGGACTAGCATTCAATTCATTAGATGCCCAAAGTGGCATCCCCTCAATTTCGTTGGCAAATGATAGGGATGAATTGAAGATCTGCCTTCTCATCTTCCCTACCTCATTTTCAGATGACAAAAATGTATGGGCAGTTCAGTGATTTTTGGGACTGGGGCTAATGGGAGGTTTGGAAGCGGGTACTGGTGGAACGCAACACTTTCCCTATTGGCTGTTGGCTGGCATGTGCCTCCTTTCAGCAGTCCGTTCTATGGCATGCAATGCCATGATGCTGTGTTGTGTAGAGTACAAATGGTAGCCCTGCCTCACGGAACTCCTAAGAATGAATGCAGCTGGCAACTCACTTGCTATTCTGGAATTGAGCTGATCACACTCCATGGCATATGCAGGGCTTATGCAATCTAAATTAGACACCAGCTATGCCCATTCATCCTGCCCACTCCCCAAAAAGACACAGCACCAGATGCCCAAAGGGCTTCTGGACATGGTGTGACATGCCACTGAATTGTTTCAGACTAAAATTATAGTTGAACCATGATGGTTTCATATAAACATGGGCAGCATTGCCTATGAACTTCACCCATCATTTCAGCAAGTTTTCAAGGAACACGAGTTCAGCGATGGTCTTACACACAGGCTCTGCCCACCAAAGACAAATGCCAAACTCTTGCTGAAATGATAAGGGATAAAGTTATTGTATTGGGGAACTTTGCTTATATGATGCATGACAGGCATTGATACATTTCATGGGTCTGCTTTTTATGTATGGTGTTTTCAACAGTAACCACAGGATGATATAATGGGCACAGGAAGCCTTTCAAATTCCCCTTCTGCCCATTTCCATAGTGCCAACAAAAATGCCACCCTCCCCAGCTGCTACCTGCTGCCGTTTATGTCAAAACAGCTTCCTTCCTGCTGTACAGCCGGAGACCTTCTGGCATAAGTGGGTAGCAAAGGGCTAACTCCACCTAGCTGGCTCTTATTTAACACAAACCACACACATGCACGAGTGCGTGCACCGGCCATGCTAAATCATGTGATCACACATTTCATGGATTTTTTCCCAGGGGGTAGCCGACTTAATCTGTTGCCGTAAAAGCAATGGGAAGTCTTGCAGCATCTTAAAGACTAACACATTTAAAAAGGCAGAAGGTTTGTGGAGTGTAGCCCACTTCATCAGATGCAGAGAGGGCTGATTTTCATACACATATTGGTGTGTGTAGGTGTGTGTGTGGGGAGACGCAAACTGTATTGACAGAAGGGAGTGCAAAACACCACTGCAACCATGTCAATGTGACCACCTCCCTTTTCATGAATGGCAACTGTTACAGTAACCATCACTGCTTGTACTTTTTGCATTTTGATTCCCTCTGACAACACAGTTAACTATTTTCCCCACTCCAGTCTCAATCTCTTTCTCTCTCTGTCAATTGATACTTCATGCGTATGAATGAGATGGACAGCAACTATAAGAAATTTGTTTTTAATGTGCCACAAGACTCCATTCTTAATGGAATGTATCATTTGGTCCTCAAAGTTAACAAGGTCAAAACAACTGGGCTCAGACTCCCATTTTCTCTTCACCCTCTACTTCGTTTTCCATTCTGGTTCCATTGTGTTTACAAGTAAAACACCTGTTTCATAGCACCTGAGCAAGAAAAAGTACCACTGACAGACAGCAGCTGCATAAATGCCTTGGAAACTTCTCCAGGTATGTTCTTCTGGCTTCAAATACTTTTGAATAATCTATTTCTCTACCTCTCTCTCTGGAATTCCTCTTCTTTCCTTTGTAGCACTTCGACCCACATCAGTGAAAGCAGAATAGTTCCCAGGAGATTCCTGGTCTACTGCAAATAAAACACCATTTTGTAAAAATCTGTTAAGAGTAAAGCTGTCAGACTTTATTACAAGGGATTCTACGTCTAAAATATATGCCAGATGCAACTTTGTGGTTAAAACCATACAAAAGCCATTAAAGTAAATGGACAAACAGAAACCTAAAAATGAAACTGCAGAAAACACGTCCACTTAAGTTTTCAAATTGAACATGTAGAGTTAAGGAACAGAATAGAATAAAAATATCTTCCCCTAATTCTAACTTATACAATAATGATTTGAGCAACTAGAGGAACAGATGTATGAGATACTGAAGATGTGAAGGGTACAAGCATAGCGATGAATCATAAGACACTGGACGTGTAACCACATGCAAGGTGATGTGCCAAAAGCATGCCACAATGAGTGATGATCTAGGTATTTTTCAGGCTATCCAACAATAAATATTTAATCTGTTGTTACATAATAATAATCAGTTGTTAGGTTATTGCCACAGGTTTAGCTGTTCTGGGCTTGCTTTAGTATGGAAACAGCAGCTGCAGGACAGTCAAATCTGGATTGGGCCTGCCCTGCCTTCTCTGGAGCCATTTTCATGATAAAAATCCCCACCCCCAGTTTATTTGTGGGCAAATAGTAAGTTGAGGGGACAATTTTTAATAATAAAATAGCACAGGGGAAAGGGTAAAAGCTCATTGCATGTCACAGGGTCAATATGAGTCACCCTAGCTCTTAGCTGCTATTTCTAAATGGAAAAAAAAGGCTGAGATTAAAATCCACAGGGCAAATTTATCATCTAGTCTCACTCAAGGGAATTCCTAGTGCTGAATATTGGCAACTTTTAAAGGTCTCACATTATATTAAGGCAATTTTTCATTCGAGACATCTGCTTGAATGGGGTGATTGCTGCAAAATGCTCTTGGGATACAGTCCCAAGCAGGCTTACTGGGGAATAAGTCCTACTCACTGGGGAATAAGGATGAGCACATTTAGGAGTGTTCATTATAATATCATATGAAAACAGCACACTTAGGGCATATTCCAATTGAGATGAGTAGGACCCTCCAAATTCAGAGGTTCATGCTCATCCAGGGCAAAGCAGGAGTGGGAGAGGCAATTTTTGCCTTCCTAAACTTCCCAATCTGCAGTTTTGATATATGGGCATTTTCAGCTGTCTCGTGACACCATCTCAGAGGAGGAGGGAAGGAGGCTGGGGTGCATACTGTGTATCATGAATACAGGAGGCTGGAGATAGGATACCTCATATAGTGGCTGCTCTAGGATAACCCTAACCCGCTAGCTGGGAATCCAAACTATCCTATGCCTCCCTAAACATTGTTTGTTTGCTTTGTGATTTATTGTGATTTATGATTTATTGTTTTGTTCTGTGCTACTGTTTATTGAAATTGTTGTTTTAATTGTTTTTTTAATATTGTAAGCTGTCCTGAGATCTTGTATAATAGGACGGCATCCAAAAGCTTTCAATAAATAAATAAATAAATAAATAAATAAATAAATATAAATAAATAAATTAGGGGTCACATGAAAACAAATTGCATTCTTCAAGTCTGCAGTAATAAAATGCACCTCTCCTTTGGTACTTTCAGATAGTTATTCCAGTTCTGTTAGCTGTAGTCCAGTAGTGACTGGAGCCAAGCAGAGAGCATAGAAATTAAGAGCTTGGATGCTATGCAAACACTGAGCTAATATATGATCCAACTAGCAGAACTAATTTTAAGTGGCAATTTTAAGTTGCCCAATCTGTCCCCTTAGAATTCACATCTGGGTAAGAAGTTACATAAGTTCTATATCTACTGTGTCACATGGACTTTGTGGCAGATGTGTCTATCTTGCTGCATGTACATGCAGCAGAAAGGACACTGAACTCTTCGCCCAGTTTTGCATTCAAAGCTAAACCATAATTTAGCACTACATGCAAGTACAAGTGTGAGTCTCCAGCTCAAGCACTCTGCCTTCTCCCACCCTTTCTCCAGCCTAGCTACAGAGCAGTTGGCAGCATATGCTTCCATCACTAAACTAATGAGAGTTTTTCATTATGACTGAACAGGGTGAACTCTGCTTAGCACGAACTGTGGTTTGTTAACAAGCTAGGATAATAAACCATGTTTTGATCCTGGTTTGCTTCAACAATCCATGTTTAAATATATTTAGATATTAGATATTAAACTAATCAGGCACCCTGCAAAATCCGTCATAATAGGAAAATCTTGCGAGTTTAAAAACTGAACCGAATGTTTCCAGTCTCCTCTTTGTTGCCCCACTGGAGGAGAGAAGAGGATAGGAGAGGAAAGGGTCTCATGCACGTAGTGCTAAATGATGGCATAAAGTTAAGTGTAAACCAGACCATGATACACAGAATGTTTCAGAGTATCATTCTATGCTACTCATACTGACCAGTTTCTAAGTGTTATTATTTTTGGTTAAAATGTCAAGTTAAGTGACACAAAGAAGGAATTGCTACACAAAGATGGCACCAATACTCACCTTGTTTAAGTCCTGTGGGCTTTGTGCCTCTTAAAATTGAGTGGAGGCTTTTAGAAAAGCAGTTAGGGTTTTGCCACCATCAGAAGTGTGTCATTATACAATGAACATTTATCTCAAAGGGCCTAACATTAAATTCACAAAAAAAGTGTGCAAAGCAAAAGGAAAAACAAAACAAAACTGCAATAACTGGATTTCTGTTTGGAAACTTACCAAGAACGGACTATAAGAATAAGGGCTGCTTCTACTCTTCAATGCCATTATTTCACAATTTTGTTTCTTATAATCAACTATGTATTTTACTGGGGAATCATTATCCTGAATGAAATTTCTTATTTTCTTTAAAATCTCTGGATATATAAATTATATGAGTCCCTTGGGAAAACATTTTTCAAAGGTGTAGACTTAATTTCCATTATGAATCACTGTTCTCATATTTTAGTGGTCTATTTAAGGTAAACTTTACATTTTCTTTTTATTGGTTGTTTGATAATTGCACCATTGTACCTAGATAGCCTTAATTCTGCACAGCTTTGTCTTACTCATCTATGATTCACTCACGATGAACCTTTCACACCAAGAAATTTTCGCATGACAAACACTTATTTTCTATTGTGCATAAAAATAGACAATCTAAAGGCAACAACAACAGGCTGGAAATGAAAGGGGCAAGGATGGGAGACTCAATCACAAGTATAAAGAAAAGGAGGTAATCCACCTTGGAAATATAATGCACTATCATTTTCTTGACTGCCGTTGTTGGCTGTATCTATGTCTTGGTAAGAGGCACTGAGAGGTAATCTTCCACATTCATTCTGGTACAATGGACAATGCATAGCACCATCTTGAGGCAGTGGATGAAAAGGCTGGTGCACTGGACTCTTTCTAAGAGCTTTAAGGGAGGAATTCCTTTTCGGAATGTCTGGAAGCAATTCAGAAATAAGTCTGTGCAAAATACTGTTGTCAGGCAAGCTTCCCCTTCGTTTTTCTGCCTTGATTTGGTCACAGATGTCTTTAAGAGCAGAGTCCAGGGCATCAAAGACAGTTGATTTACATTTCGTTTTTTCGGCCTGCTTCTTGGGGGCTGTGGTTTTTTTCCTCCGGAAAGGCACTGGGCTGACTAGGAAGGCTATCTTGGAGAGGCCAGGGTCAGAATCTTGCCTTCTAGGCTCTTCCGGGGCAGTCTCCTGTTTAGCCCTTTCGTGTTTGAGCATTGTGGTAAAGCGGGTGTAGGATGCTGGACATCTCCCTTTGCAGGAGCTGATGAGATGCTTGTGGTGGTGGTGATGGTGATGGTGGTGGCCTGAGCCATAGAAGCTTTCCGATGATGTAAAGGAAAAGTGGTCAAAATCGCTTTCACTACAAAAAGATGAGCCTTCTATCTGTATGAAGTCACTGAGATCGGAGACTACCCCATCCTGGTCACTGTCTGAATATTCCATGTGGGATCTCTGTGGCTCTTCGCTGGTCACTTCAATGTGAATTGGTACCAGAGTTTTAGGTTTATAATTCCGCTGTACCTTTGCAGTGTGCCGACTCTGACTTTCTTCTTCCAGCAAGGACTCAATAGAAAACCTGCGGTTTGCGCAGAAGCCATTTTTAGGGGGCTCAAGGAGGGTTACAGCTGATAAAGCATCTTCACCTAAATTTGGCATTGATTTTGACTTCTGAATTAACTTTTCAAATTCAGAAATCCTATTAGGCACCATGTCTCTAGGGACCTCCTCTGTTGAGGATTCTTTCCAGCCCTGGAACAGGCCTTTATGCTGCTCTTTTTCATATTGCAGTACCCTGGACTTTACGGAACAGATCACCTCGGAATTGAGCAAGTCTTTACGATTGATGCGATGCATTCTTTTATACATTTTTAGGAATCCTGGTGTGTCATGCGCAGATCTATGGTGTGCCTTTGAGCTACTGGAACCGTGGCTCTCGAAAGCATAGGGGGAGGCCCAGGTCAGTGAGGAACCATCTTTGGGTTCTGCCTCACATAACAGAGACACCATGCTTTCTGATTTATTCTGTGTGTCGGGAAAGCTACAACGCTCATCAGCTAGCAGGTCATCGCAGCTCCGAGATTTCCGCTTGGGAGAGGAGGTCTCTTCTGTGCTGCTCCAGATTTCTGCATTTTGACGGGCCATTTGCCAACCATTCTTGTAGCTGATTGCTCTTCTTGAGTCACTTGGGACAGCCAGGCGCTGCCCATAGGTTTTACAGTAATCTACTTCATTTGAGGTGCTGTGGTTGGGCACTGAATAACTGGAAAGGGATGAATATACTTTGCTAATATCCCCACCTTTATAATCCACAGAGCAGCATGGTGAAAAAGAGACATTGCCAGAAATTAACAGATTCAAAAGTGGATAGGAAGAAAACAAAACACAATCAGCAAAGCCAGATAGAGCAGATAGGAGATGGTAGTTAGTCTTTCTAATGTAGCATTAAGCACTAATACCAAGTATGCATTACCAAAGTGTAAAGAAAGAGAAACAGTTCTAAGCATTCAACTTACGCTGCAATCCAGTTCTGACTATCCTAGGAATAAGGCTCAAGGAACACAATGGAACTTACTTTTACGCAGACATGTTTAGGATTGTGCTATTTTCAGCTGCTTCAATGAACAATGATTATTATTGTTTATTATTCAAGTGAGAAGTCTGGAAAGCTTTCCCATATACAGATCAAGATTGTCTCATCTCTCTCATAATGAAAACCTACAGGTCTACACAGAGGTAATTGTTCTTAGGCTAATCAAAATCTACAAGTCTATCTATTCTTCAGGTTCAGAAACTGATACCAAGGAAACATCAACATTTAAAGCAATACAATGACCAAGACCGTTGTTGCAGACCCTGTTCCAAAGGCATAGAACTGTACAGAACACCTAGGAGTGTACAAATGCCAAACTGCATCTTTTAGTCTGGACAGGACATTCCCATCTTTCACATTATAATGGCAATATTCTGAAATACTAAAGTAATAGGTCAGTGCTACATGTATATATGTAATACTGGGCAAGATACCCTTCCTAGAGAGACCAGGTTGGTGCTTTCCCTATTATGGTTCCATGAGCAGGGAAAGGCTGCTTTACCCCAGCAGGTGTTTGGGAATGGCCTATGAGTTTGTGCTGGGTTAATTTTACTGTTTATATTTTTGTAGTGTTTTTAAGCTAGATAGTGATTTAATTTTAATATGCAGTTGGTTTAAATGCATTTTTAACATTTGAATTCTTTTGAATGTTTTAATTGTGTGAATTTTAATGCTGTGAGTCGCCTAGAGTTCCAGTCTCTGGGAATAGGCAGAATAATAATAATAATAATAATAATAATAATAATAATAATAATACAAAAGGTCTGACTCAGTAAAAGGTAGCTTACCATCCTAATGGCATACATTTTGCCATCTAGGGCTCTTTCATATGCTATTGCATGGAACCATTTTTTCCTTACTAGGTAACAAACAGATAAAAGCACCTTTATTACAGTCTCTGTCTGTTCCAGTTTTTGAAATATTACTGGAGCAAGGAGGGGAAAACCCACAAGAAAACTGCTTCTGTGCCATTGTGTAAAAATATTATACTATCACAGTAGTAAGCAGGAAGGGTCACAGTGTGGACATGCGCTCATCAGCATTTTTTGTTTGTCACTTCTTTACCAGCTCTTGTGTCACCTGCTCCACCAAGTGGCTTTTCAAAATTAGGGGATTTTATAAAATGGTCTGGAGCTTCATGGAGGATTTCAGGATGAGGCTTCTCGCAGTCACTCTGCTTTGGACTCAAAATTTTATGGGGAGATTTTAAAAAACCCATTAAGGAGAAGACAAAGGATGGGTGCAATGCGTTTTGATTGGTGGTGCTGGGAACTGTCTGTCTAGAAGGGTCTGGGAATGGACTGGACTGCTGTGGAACTGGGGACCCACTGCTCTGGATGCATCTGTGGCCCATGCCATCCTGCTTATTGAGGCCTATATCTCCAAGAGCCCAAGAAACAGCAGAACTATCCTGCATTATGGGCCACTTGTCCTATCAACACTTTCAATAATTTCATGTTAAGAGAACTGGCGGCTTTATGCTCAGTTACTTCAAAGAGGCAGTCATTTGTGAATTGTTGGGAATGATGTACAATGCATTATTTTCATACATCATGACAGCAACATTCGTGTTGAGTTTCATGTTTGGATTCAAACAGTGGTGCAACTGATAACTGATGGGAACCCCCTATTGAGACCACAGTAATAGTTTGTATCTTTAAAAGTAGTTCTTTACCAATATGATGTTCTCTCTCTAGTAAGACAGTAACACACCAAATGTAAACATGTGAAATCTCAGAAATTATTGTCTCTTCTTAACTAAGTTGATTGCAACAACAGCAACCACAGAAGGATCTTCATGTGGAAAACCATTTCAGACACAACCTTATGCATATTTAGACAGAAAAAGGCCTATAACTCCCAGTGGGCTTTTGTTTAAACATGCATGGACAAAACTCTTAAACATCCAGATCAGTACTGGATTTCTCCTTCTTTCCAGTAAGGTGGATTTCAGAGATCATTGATTATCCACTAGCATCCAGAATCCAGCAATCAGTCACTAATGTTTTCCAGTTTACAAGCTGTTATGAGTGTGTAACTACTTTGCTACTCATTTACAATTGCACTCATTTCTTACCTTTTGCTCGTGAAGGAGAAGATGGAGAAGAGCTTGTAACAGGCTTCCTAAGTGTAGAATATGTGCTTTGCGTATCTGTGCGACCCAGGCTGGTTCGGTTTGCATTTTGCTCACTATGTGCCTTCTGATGAGTTACTGCTGGCTCTGACTTCCTTCTTTTCCTATAGTCACTTGCAGTACTTGCAGAACTAAGGAAATAAGTAATATGAGCATCACCATGCAGGACACATTGACAAGACATCATTTCAGTAATTAATGTGCAAACTCATTGGTGATTGCTGGCTTATCGCTCAGCATAAGTGTGCAATCCTGTGCAAGTTCAGACAGGGAAAGGAGCTGACAACTCCTGGCATGGCCTGGTCTGCACAGCTTAAATTACTAAATTTAGTAATTATGAAAATAAATCTAAACAAGTTGAAAAGACCACAAGCTGTGGCCACAATGCCATGCATGCCCCAGCATTCCTGAATGTCCCATTCTCTTCAAATTGTCAGGAGTCAGGCTGTAGCTTGCTAGCTTGACTATTGTGTGACCTTGACACTTTTATTCCAGTAAGAAGCAGTTAGTAATTAGTGGCCCTCCAGATGCTTTGGCCTACAACTCCCATCAGCCCTAGCCAGCATAACCAAAGGTGAGACAAAATGGCAACTGTAGGCCAAAGCGTCTGGGTGGCCCACCCCTGCATAAAGCATGCAACACGAAATGACATCCAAGTGATTTCTATTTGTATTCTAACAACTGATTGAGGAAGCTGAAAGATGATGACCAGATTATGATATTTTGTGGCATCATGCCCAGTAAAGCAAGTAAGGCATAAATACAAATTTTCCCTTCCACTGGCAGCTTAACCATTCTCCTTTTCACATGCAGAATCTCCAAAAAGCACAGTTTCCAGTTTAGAAAAAAATCTAATATTTATATTGATGCTGTAGCATTTACACATATATGAGTGAGGGTCAGTAGATAAGCTTATAGTGGGATCTAAAACTCAATGTTCCATGCCCTATGAATTTAGTGGTTGCATTGATTTTACAGGAATTTATATGCCACCCTGTAAAAGAAAAGTTCTCCCAAGAGGGCTTGCAATTTGTAACAGAAAACAATTTAACATTAATATATAAAAACTAAGAATGATAACATAAAATGATTTAGGGAGAACAATAAAAAGTCTATTACCATTAAAAGGAGAGAGAAATGACATGAGTCTATATGTAGAACATCTTACTTCCCATCTTACTTTTGCTATTCCCAGACTGTGCCAAGTTTAACGAGAAATACTACTACTAATAATAATGCTGGAGAAAGGAGGGAGGGAGATGGGATTCCTGCGTTTCTTCCAATTGGCAAGCTCTTATCTGCTGAAGGTCTAAGAGGGAAAAATCCATCCTAATGTGACATAAATAACTTTGTGTAGTTACCCACGTTGTCTGGTTTTCATTTTTCCTTCTGCTTTCAGTTTTGCACTGAAGCCAGTTATTGGCTTTTGTAAATTAAGACCAGTCCTGATCGGTAACACCTGTCTTATAAACCCCAAGCATTTCTGAGCTAACTTGATGGCCAGGAATGTAAATTGGGATTTTGGAATTTCTTAATTGCTTTTAGTTTTTTCCCGTCTTAAAGATCAGAATGGAATTGGATGAAGTACAGTAAGTGGGGATCAACACCTGGGCCCCCCTTGTCAAACCTTAGGGGCACATGCTAAATGAATACAGTGCAGTTTCTTGGGTCACTAACAAATACAGTTGCAGGAAAGGTGATGCATGCAGGGAAATGGCCTTTTATTTTTCATCCTTTAAGATATGCGCAAGTTTGAAACAGCAGAGATTGGATGCAGAACATCTTACACCCATTAAAAAGAAAGGGGGAAGAACTGACAGCTCCTCCTCACACAAGACTCATGGGGGAAAGAGATGAAGAAAGATGAAGGGGCAGCAACTGCGCTTGTCCCTGTTTTCCTACCTCCTATGGGGAGGAAGCCAACAGGATCAACACACCTATTCCCTGCCATACAAAAGCAATTTCTAATACCAAGCACAGTCCCTCTCCCATGCTGACTTTCCCAAGAGTAAGAACCATTGAAGACAATATCCTGTTTAAGATAATATATTTCACTTCTGAGTATATATGTAAATGTTTTAATTTTCAGCTTTCTGTTCCTTACAGAGGAGAGAAGGGGTGGAAGTAGCATTGCATCTACTCTCCAGTTTACAGGGCAAGTCAGAGAGATGGAGAGAGCGAGAGAGAGAGCGAGAGCAGCTGTGGGGGAGGGTATAAGGAAGGCTGGAGAACAAGGGATGGCTGATGGGGCTTATCTCCTCAGTGTCGCTGCAGTCTTTATCAAAACCTGATTGGGCATTTCAGCTTGTAGAACCATTTCTCCTTAATTCATCAGTTCACGGAAGCCACCCCCTTTCACCCCAGAACAACATCAGAAGTTTAGCACACACTGGAATATACATGTCAGGAAAAACTCAATGTATAAAAATATTGTGATATAACTGGTCTGAAAAATCTAAGGCACCACATCAGAAATAGCATGAGGAGGACATTTTGGGGAAAGCATCATGTGACGTGCTAGTGAGCCAGGCATTGGTAAAAATGCCTCATGTGGATCGCTCTCTAAGTTTCACTCTGGTTAATCTAAATACATCCTAAAAGTGGTACTAGGTCACAATACACGAATACTTTTTATCTGAGTCATCTGAGATTTTAATAACACAGGCGACAAAAACTGACCATAAAGTATTTGCCTACGCTAACTAATCTTGTGACAGAGATAGAGAGCAAAGAAAACTCATGTTACATAGCTTCAGGACATACTTCAGATTCAGACAGAAAAGGACAAGACTGATGATTAGATTTGGACTGAGATGGGAACCTAAGCCAAAAGAGTCTAGACTTTGCAAAAACGGGAAAAAAGGACAAAGTCTGTGCTTCATCCAGAAGAGCTACATGGAATGTCTGCTTGAGGAAGGTCAGATACATTTACTTTCGACTGGAAGCTGTTCCATGGTTGAACAAGGATCTCTGGATAGTTATGGAGGTTTTTTTCCACCATACATGCATTGATATATTGGATTTTTCTTACCTAGAAGGTCTCTCCAAGCCTCTGTCTGTTGGACTGTAATATAAGGAGGTCTGTAGAGACAAACAAGCAAAGTTATTACACTTTTACACTGGATTTTGTGAACATTATCCATGACAAAGCTCTATGCAATGACCAAAGAACTTTCACAGTCAGGATAAGATGATTAATCACACTAAAGTCATTGGAAAGTTAGTTAGATTTAAATCCATTTCAGGTGTCATATTTTATGTTGGTGGTAAAAGTCCAGCATATTCCCAAATCTAGATATGTTGCAGTTTATAGTGGAAACATTCAAAACAAATCAACCAATCAGTGAATCAGAGTCAGAAGATAACCTCCAATTACTTACCAAAGTATTAATGTCATATAAAGCTGGGTATTCTCTGTATACATAGCTTAAATATCTATAACTTACATGTCCACTTGTTGACCTTTTGAACTTCATGTTAATTACAAAGTTAGTCACAGCAACCTAAAGACTTTTACTTTTCTAATAAGTGATGGCTGAATGAGCTTTGGGAATGAAAATACTTCAAACTTGTCAATATAAATCCAGTCCTTAGTAACAACTATTTTTAATCTAGTCACTTAATGGGTGGCAAAGCTTGAGTCAGAATTAGACACACATAGTACTACAGTTTGTGAGAGCTAGAAAAAGCATCATGTTTATCCTGGGAACAGCTTTTAATGGACATAAAACGATGTCAGTCACATGTTAAACATATTTTACATTCAGTCCATTTCAGAGATGACACAAGGAAATGAAAATAGAATTTTCACACTGTGTACTACCGTACTTGTAGAAAAGCAAAAGGACTACTAAGGCTATACATAAAAGCAGAGTATTGTATCTCACATTAATCCCTGTTAGAATAGACTGAATAGAAATGAATGTTCAAATGACATTAGAAAAATGCACTGCATACAATCCTGCCTTTACATTAAAAGACACTAGAGGAAGCAACTCACTACTATACTGCATCCAAGTACAAACCCATTTCCTTTCAATGAGAGAGGATTTTGTTTTAACATATTACAACAATAATGTTGACAGGAACTCAATAATCTTGCCTCTAGAGGTCACTCTTGTGCTGGGAGCTCTCATCAGGGTGCTGCTCTATCCACATCCTGTATTTCTCATCACACACACAGAAAGACTTCTTGTGGGATCTCCACAGTTTTCATGCTGTTTTCCCATATCATGTACAGACTCCCTAGTGTCATTAGCGGGTGTTCTGAACTTGCAGACATTTGCCATTATTTGAGAACATGTCAGGAGGAGTTAGAAAAGAGAGATGTACAGAGAAATGGTGCTTTATGAATCTCTTGCTTTTTTCTTTGCTTGCTTTTGGTTCAGTTCGCTCTATGCAGGTGCAAAGGAGTGAAGGTGGAAAGTTAATTTTCCTCATCTCCCCGCCCCCCACAAAAAAAATCATGGAGAAAAAGAAAAGGCACACTTGCTTGTTCCTGTTGTTGCATACCTCGCGGGGCGAAACTGATGAGACAGAAGCACCCCATTCCTTCTACCCAAAAGCAAGCAAGGGCAGCCCCCTCCCATGCAGACTTTCCCCCATTTAGCGCCAGTGAAGTCAATGGGATTTTGTTGTGAGTAAGGCCACAGAAGATAATGTGATTTACTTTTGAGTGGACATGTGTTCCAGCTAGCTATTTCTTAAGAAGAAGAGAAAGCTGACAATCAGAAGGACATGGAACAATGGCACACCCTTTCTCCTCACCCAGGAAATGGGGCATTTAGTCAGACGGAGAGAAGTCCTGGGTGGGGCAAGGGAGGCAGGAAAGCGATGGAAGGATCTCTGAGTTGCCTGCCTTTTTTGCAGAACCCAAACCCTGCTGAAATGCATCCTCCTCCCTGACACCCTCTAGGGAAGACAAGGACACTGCCAGGTGAGCACACACATAATGACATACACAACTCCACAACTGTAGTGGAAGAAAAAGGAAGGTCAGAATACAGCTGGTCATGAAAACTGTGGAATGGAAGGAGAGGGGAAGAAACAAGGAGCAGTGCTGTATGCCATGGGAGTTACTCAGGTGATAGAACATTGGTATACAACTGGTCCAGGAAGGCATGGTGGGAGTTACTGAATAGGCTGAGCCCTTTGGTTAGTTTCTCCCTCCCTTTCAACAATTATAGAGCTGTTAGACTCCAAACTCCACTGGGGACCATCAAAGTGATATAATAGGATCATGCATGAGAAATGAGGGTAAACCAAAACAGGCTTTACTTACTAATGTCTTTTATTTTTACTCTATAGTAGGAACAGGAGGCCAAATCTAGATATTAAGAGTTCCCCATGGTGGGGTCCAATCTGGATCAAAGTCCTGTGCTTACTCCTGAGTAAATGTAAAACAGACATAGCTTTAAACCCGTTAAAAGTAATGTCTGTTTTGGCCCTGTGCTAATGTGAACAGGAACTATGCAGATTCTTTCTCACTTTTCTCTCTATTGTCTCTTAGAACTCTTTGTTACTTCCTCTGCTAGATTTAATCCCATGAGATCTCAAAGGATCATGAGATATCTGTTGGAAGATAAGTCAAAGGGTACAATCCCATGAAAAATTATATAAGAATGGTCTTCAACTCCTGGCATGCCAGTGGTTGCTGAATTCTTTTCTGTTTAAACAGGCTAAGATTGTACCCTAAGTCTATGAAATTTCTTCTAAAGGCCTAAAAAATTAAGACATTTATATGCCAAGGTAGTACTGTGTACAGTTTATTTCATGCTGTCCCATGAAAATTTTCATTTCATTTGTAAAATGTGTGCAATGTGATTTTGTTATATGATCTGCTTGGGCTTCAATCAAATAAACTGACTGATGTTCAACATTCCTACAGATGTTTTACTCTCCAAAATTATTGCAAATCTTGTGTTAAATAAGTAGCAGTGACAATAAAATGATGTAAAAATCACCCCACCCCCAGGAATTCAGCTAATCTTCAGTATGTTTGGTTCTCAGTTTTCCTCAAAATTCTTACAGTCCTTTTGCCTTAGCACTGCTGGAATTTAGTATTTGTCTAGAGATTTTTTTTTAAATGGTGAAATTTGGTGACACCTCTTTTTAGCTTCAGGCACCCCATCCCATTCAGAGAATAATACAGGGGGTCTAGACACTGCCTTGTCATCTTCCTGTGCTTTCCCATTATTTCTTCCATTTTTTCACCACATAAAGAAATTTGCTGAGGAGGAAAAGATGAAATATTTGAACAATGCTTTTTGACTGATTGTGCTAGGAACTCTCTGTCTGGAAGGGCTGAATGTGTTAACATTTTAAGTGTTTTCTCCAAACTGTTACTTGTTCCATTTACCTATGCTGCATCTGTTTGTTCCTTCTCTCTTATGGAATTCTTAAACAACAGTTCATTTTGGAATAAGCAATCAAAGGAACATTTTTAAACCTGTAACTCTGGCTTTTTATGAGATGACAAAAAAGCCTATATTTTGTTTAAGCATGGTGGCAGTACATTACTTACTGATTTCAATGTCTTGAGGGAAATGGTTTGTAAAGTCATTGTCATTTGGCATACTAATTTGCTTATTATACACTTCGCTTGTTGACAGCTACTAATCAATTCGATGCAGCTGTCATTTAAAGATGAAATATTAATTACAATATTGCATTTGCAAAAGACAAAAACAGAAATATATTAGAGTATTTCAATGGCTCTTGAGCGTGTAAACATAATTAGTGTATCAGAACATTACCCATGGCAGTCATGCCATACAACATTCTGTAAAACACTGCGATATAAATTTCCTTATCCTGGTAAAAGTGACCACATAGTAATAATGAAATGCACCATTTCATTAGCAGGTTTAGAATGTTCAAAGCATTTTATATATATTATTTCAACAGTCTTTACAAGGCAGTCCGTACCTGTATATTGCAAATAGGTGGCTGGGTCTGAGAAAGGGCAAATTTGCTTAAGGGTGTGATCCTATGCATGTTCAGACAGAAAAAAGATCCACAAGTCTCAGCATTCTCCAGTTTGTTGTGTGTGATCTTCTGATTCTCCCTCCTTCCAAGCAGATCAGGATAAAGGCATTCTAATTAAAAGTCTTTATCATGTTAAAGCTGACCAGCTAGGCTGGGTTTGTAATACAAAAATGAATATTGCAGAAGTCCGTAACAAGAGATATTGCAAAGTTAGAATTCTGGTCCTTAGGGAAATACAGCTTGATACAAGGTTGATAAATACTGCATCTCTCTCCTCCCTTCCAAACCAAAAGGAGCTGACTCTACCCTCAAGGTGGATCATGCTGCTTATGGCCAAATTGCCTGGACAGTCTGACACTTCTTGAATGATCCTCTTTCTTAACCTGATGCTGTATGATTGGACTAGTGGTGTTAAGTCAGCTTCCATCATTCTCAGCTTGCTCACTAGACTTTCCTACTGAATGTGATACTGTTTGGTCCTCAGTGACTGTTTGGGCCCATTAGCCTGAATCCATTGGCCTTGGAATTTCAGCTGGGAATTCCATCCCTCTTCCACTTCTGAATCAAAATTTGTGTCCTTTAAAGGATGTATTATAGGAAGAACGGGCGCAATCCTTACATCATGGTGGCTGGTAATGCTGAGAATTTTTTCTGTCTAAATATGCAGAGGATTGTGCCCTAATTCTCTCATTCCGAGGCTTATGCAAATAGGGCGGCATATAAGAATCCCAAATAAATAAATACATAAATAATAGTGAAGTGGTGGCAGAGGCAAGACTAGAACTGGGGAATCATTCACAGCGCAGTCCCTTAGATGAAAAATATCAGTTCTATATCTAGTTTCCACTGTCAGCAGTATATTAAATTATGCTCTAAGAACATCAGTGTGCAGAGTGTCTTTTCTCCATAAACCAGCAAAGCAAATGGCCCTGCTGAATATGCTCTACTGATTTTGTTCTTGAAGTCAACATAATTACTTTTTCCTTCAGTGTCTTTGTGCGCATCCAGAAAAAGTCTTACAAATGCTTCAGCATTCATAGCTCAATGGTGTATCCTGCTTGGGGTATCGGACATCATAATCTAGACACATCTCAGATTGTCACAGAACTTCAATTCATCTAAATCTATCAAGAAAATGAACTCATAGTGACCTCAATACAATGGTTCGTGAATTGACACCTACACATTTATAAGGGTCAGGCCTTAGCTCCAGACCATGGGTCCTCAAACTGTGGCCTGTGGGCTGGATCTGGCCCACCATGCCCATTTATCTGGCCTGCCTCAGAGGTTTCGGACTCCCCGTGCCTGCTGCCGCTTGCCTCGTCGCACGTGTGCTCACTGCTGCCTTCCCGCACGTGCGGCAAGGTGGTGGCTCGCTTGCTCGCTCAGAGATAGTTTTGGACTCGCTCGGAGAAAAGAATCTCTGAGCGAGCAAGCAAGCTGCCTGCATGCGCCTGCCGCTGCTGCCCCCTCATCAGCCTGCGCCCACGAGCATCCCCGTCCCACCAACCTGTGCCTGCCGGCACTGTCTTTCAACTGGCCCCCTGCTGAAAAAGTTTGAGGACCCCCTCAGACTCAAAATGGTTGTTTTTTCCTTCACATATGGTGCCAATTTTAAGCATGTTCTAGAAGCAGTGGTTATTCAAGTTGTTATGGCTGGATGATTACGGAACTTGTGAACATATATCTACTTGCTTGAACAAATTTTGCATATTAGGGATTTTATATTATGCTTGTTGATCTTGTTTTATGGCCTATATTTTGCAGATCATCTGACAGCTGCAGCTTTGGGAAAGCAACAATAACTAAACAGTGTTAGTGGCACCTGAAATCCATATTCCTGTAAATGGTAGTTGTTAGGCTTCTTATGTATAATAAACTTTAGGAACAGGTATTACTTAATCCTAGATTAGAATTCACCCTTTCCTGAATAGAGCTGCAGTCTTCCTGAGACAACAGGTTCCTAGTTTGAAAGTACTCTTGGACCTAAACCTGAGCTTGGATTGGCCAGAATTCATTTTAGTAACTTCACCTTCTTCGCAAACTATGGGCTGCACCCTTTCCTGGAAGCATCAACACATGGCCTTAACCATTCATACTTGTTTTATTTCCAGGTTAGATTACTGGTTCTCACTTGAAGATATTACAGATTCTGGAACTAGTTCAGAATTACACCTGTGAGGGTTCTGTTAGAAGCTTCCCACTCATGGCCTGGTCCTTTTGCCATCTTCACTGGTTACCAGTCTATGTCTGGGCTGAGCATAAAATGCATGATTTCTGTTTCTGGCCGTAAATGGCCCATAACCAGAATACTTTAGGAAGTGTAACCTGCCATGCTATTGTTTTTTAATTATTACATTTCTATACCATCTGTACGTGAAGCTCTCTGGATGGTTCACAACATTTAAGTCACCCATCAACATTTTAATCAGGCCTGATCCTATATAACCTCCAAGATTAAGCAGGATCAGGGAACTTGAACTTGAGATAGCACAGGTGAGTATGTGGAAAAGGGTCTTCTTAGCCTTGGGTTCTTGGGTCTGCAATGGTCAACATTCAACTGTTACTTCACTGCCTGCTTTCAGGAGGGTAACAAAGATGGATTTATTTAGGGGGACTTTGTTAGAATCTTGGTTCTATTATGGATTCTGTAGCTGTTTTAAAACAGAATTTATGTTTTGTTTTCTCTTATGCTGATTTTTTAAAATAGTAAAATTCTTTATGTAAACTATAGCAAAGCAGAATATAGATAAGAGAAAATAAATTAGTTATACTCTGGTACAAGGCAGATGATAAAAGTTTAAAGTTTACATATCATTCTAATGCAGGGGTGAGCAACATGCAGCCACTACCCCATTGATTGTGCCCCCATCCATTTCCCCTATCCTGCCTCAAAAACACCCTGAGGAATATAAGGAAAATAAGTTGTGATTTGCCACAGAAATTGGCAAGAAACTGCTAGAGAGGTTTAGAATGAATCAACCAATTTAGCTTTTTTTTTTTTTTAACCCATACCTCTTTCTTCACCTTTATTTGAAGCATGGTGGGGGCCAGTCCAGGACGGGCCCCAGCGGCAGAATTTGGCCCCAGCATGCTGGAGGTTGCCCACCCCTGTTCTAATGGGCTGTTCAAGCTGTTCACTACTACAAATGATGAAGAGTAATGCAAGCAGCAGGGAAGGGTCCAGGCAATCACATACTTTGGGTTAGTTAGCAAAGCCAGGCAAAATTTCAGAACCTTTAGTATCTGAAGTCAATGCAGAAAATAAAACAGATTTATTCTGGAAAGAGGACATGTATTTGTCATCCCTATGTCCCTTCCATCAGATGCCATGACAAAGGTCTGTCCACATGTGGGTGGATGTGGACTACAGTAGCCTTCCTCAGCTGGCACCCTGGCACTTCCCAGATCTCTTTTGCAACAACTATCATTCCTGGTTGGTCTGGGATGGGAGGTGTTACAGTTCAACGGATTTAGAAGGCTCCCCATTGGGGAAGGCTGCACGAAGTGTATTTTCCATCCTATTCAGCAAGGAGATTGTCTTGTTTCTTCTGCGACAAAGCGTTGCCTTTGGAAGTCTGGTGGTACAAGCAGTGTTGCCATTGTTGGCTTGGTGGACAGATCCTTGGCCGCTGCATATGTTAATGTGCTAGAAGTTGAAAATGTCATAACTGTACATCATTTGAATGGTTTTTTTAAAAATACAAACTTCTATTCAATATAGATCTTTTTTTTTTTTGAGATGACCCCACAGAGCACCCAAATCAACGAAAGAGGACTCATGTCTTTAACACTCATGTGGTTTCTGAGTTTAATAATCTATAGAAGAAACATGCTTGATTTACCTCATTGGAAAGACCTGGATGATTATCTTGAACATATTCCAAAAGCTTTTTAGGAGGCTGCATCATATAAGCAGAATTGCGAGATGAAATGGAGGAGAATCAATGGCAGCAAGGAGTGAAACATGTGGAGAAGGTGACATAGTTAGAAACTGAGTGCTGACAGATTACAAGAGTGGCACAAACATAACAAAATGAGAGGAGTAGACTGGGGTGAAGAATGCATGACCAGTTATTGAGCCATCTGAATGACGCTTCAGTTACTGCAGGTGGTAACGCTATACTTCAAATAAAACCATTCATGTCAAGCAACAAATAGAACAGCTAAAAAAATGCTCTCTGTTAGGGTGAGGATAAATCTCACTGGCATCCATGAGGTGCAAAGGATCAAGGGCTCTGCTGTACTGTGCCCTACCGTCTCCATTCATGAGTGGAAGCTGGCTGTCCAATGTGAGGACCAGCAAGGGAATTCAGCTTAGCTCTTTCTCCCTATATAGATGAACTATAATAAGCAACTCTCTTGAAATCCAGGTAAAATGCAGCTGAGGTTGATTTTGTTGTGTGAAAATGAAAGGCTATTTTGGCCAGAAATCTGGGCAAAAGATAATGAACCCAAGTGCTCAAAATAATTGCTTAGACAAAGTAAACTGTTGAACATCTGGAGGTTGCATGTTTGACAAATCCATTGTGGGCTCATAATGAAAACACACCATGGCTTATACAGACCAAAAATTCAGCCTGCTTTCTTAAAGGGAAAGCCAGCAGAATAAGTAGCTGTCAAAACTCAGACAGAGGTCCTAATTCCTCCCCCATAAAAGGGGTGAAATAGAAAATAAGAGAAGGATCTTGCTGAGAAGGGAGTGTGAATCCTCAGAAAAAAATAATCTTGCCTCACAGCTTGGTTTTCTTTTGACAGGCTGCCTTCAGCAAGTGACCAAGGAAGCCAAGGAGGGAGGAATGGATTTCCACCCATGACTAGGGCAATGCCCCTGGATAGGCAGGAGGTACCCCATGGACATTGCTGCAGCTGAGGCTTGAATTAGACCAATTGGGGTGGGAGCCAGAGCCAATCACTCCCAATGTTCCAAATGGTCTGTTGAGATCATTGAGGGATCTCAGGTAATTCACCTACACTGCGTGGTTCGGGCTGCATTGTGATTACCAAGTCATCTGAACTGGCCCACTGCCTCCCTATTATTTTATGGCAGCATTGGTCATTAATGAAATACAAGAAGTTAGGCAAGCTAGTCTAGTCAATTTCCCACAGAGGGTGGAGAAAGACCTAAGGACCACTTAGCATCTAACCTCAGACAAGCTGTATCCCTGAAACGTGACCAGTTTCAAATGCACTAGCTTGATAGCCATCTGAAACTTGCACAATCTTCCTGCTCATTGTCTACTTTACACACTTTACAGCAGTGGTAACAGAAGCAGTGGCCATTTATGCACGGATCCTGCCCTGTCAGCACTGCAAAGCCCTCTTTGCTTTCCATGTGAGAAGTAACAGCATAACACTGCTGATGTCTTGATATCAGAAGACTGATGGATGGAGAGAAGGCAAACTCCTACCACTTCTGAGCACTTAGTTTCAAATGGATTTGTCTTTCCTCAACAGAGGCAAGATCCCACCTAATTGTGCACTAGACTGTACTGGCAAGACTCTCAGTTAGGCTATAGTTTAGATAACTGAAGCATATGATGCTCAGCATATGATTTCCAATGTGGCATTGCCTTCAGATAATTAGTAATAACAATCAGCACATCCCAATTTGTGATTATCACTAGTGTTTCAATAGGTTCAAGAAATCATTTGGTAAAAATATGGAAGCCTATCCACTGGCTGGCCAACTTGGATGACTATTCTTAGAATCACCCCATCAACTATGATGGGATCACCAACCCTCCATGAAACCTATAGATGGCAAGTGCAACACAATTAAAGCATGCATAAATATTGATGGCAGGGTGTATCAATTATTTCTTTTCTAATGCACTGAAGCACATTAATTCACACCTACGGTGGAAGCCAATTAAGTCTTCCTTTGATGGAACAGCTTCTTGTGGAGAAACTGGGCAAATCTCATGCATTCCCACCACATCTATTTATGAGGGGTGGGAGATGCTTCAAGGAGCCTGAGGGGCAACAGAGGGAGAAAAGAAAGAAAAGGTTTTGCCTCATAAGTGCACTTCCACTCACACACGGTTGGATTCTGCCCCTGGTCTTTTTGGATATAGAGATGTGAGCACTCCACCTTATTTTTCCTAAAGCTTATATATTAATAGTCTAGCCTCACTTACCGGGCGTCCAAACTCCAGCTCTGAAAAGAATTTATACCAGGGTTCATTTTCTAAATCTATGTCATCTGGGTTTATGCGATCAGTCTGGAAGAATTGTGAAGGAAAAAGGGAAGGAAAAGGCACACACTGATCAAAGTGCTGGAAATGACACGTCACACTGATGACATACAAACATTAACACAAATAATAGGAGAGGAAGAGGGTGAAACAAAAACAAAGGAATGGAGGAGGGAATTTCATGATGAGATTAGATTTGATTTGAGAGCTGTCACACACTGGTTGTTTGAACTGTTCCTTTTCAGCATCCTCCAAATGGTTGCTATATATATGCAATATAAAAATATGATGTGGTTTAAAATAAACTGATAATATGGAAGAATATTATATAGATTTTTTCCCTGAAAAGAATTATTGCACAACAAACAGAAGCATATTTTGCTTGCTTTCAAGTTTGTCATATTGCATGCATAAAGATTGTGATTTTGATTTTTTTTCTTTATTATCAGTTTAGAGAAAGGGTGTATAGGCTAGGCAATGCTAGTTAAAGGTCTGTGATTTAAAGCAATTATTTGGATCATGCAAGGAGAACATGTTAATTTTGCATTTTTAAAGGCAAGCACACTGAAGTAGTATGCAGCATGTCGACAGCTTACATAACCTTAGCCTATGTAAAACAAAGTATGCGTAGCATATTAATATTGATGGATCCGTATGTAGAAAGGGGTTAGGGATCTAACAGATGGGAGGCATAATGTAGCATCCAAAGGGTAAGCAGTCAATCGGTGCTGTCAACTTTGAAAGCAGTCACAACTTTTTTTTTTTAGAGAGGGGAGAATAAATCTCACCATCCACTTATATCCCACCCCTTCAATAGATTATTGCTACAAGTCAGCCTTCTATATAGCCAATGTCACATATGTTAGGTCTATACATTAGGACCATGGCTCAAATTTGCCTTAGTTCAAAGCTATACTCAAGCATAATGTTTACTAATTAATTGGTTAAATTAAATCAATTAAAAATTAACTAGCTAAATATGCCTCCTTGATTTATCAGGTTTAGTGGCTGAAGAGGTGCACCAGGACCAGGAAGACCCAGATTAAAATCCCCAGCCATCCATGAACCTTGCCAGGCAACCTGAGACCAGTCATTCTCTCTGAGCCGAATCACACACACAGTGTTGTGAGAATAAGAAACAATGGTGGACGAAGGACCACATGCACATCTTTGGAGGAATCAATAAATAATAAAAGTATTGTGAGAATTATGGTATTGGGAAAAATTTATTGGCAATCTAATAGCAACTCTCTAGCTCACCCATTTACCTCTAGTGTGGATGGTGCGTGAAGATGTCAGCAACTGCTGATTTGGGGTTTCCATGGAGGGTCAGTTGTCTGTCTTTAGTATACATTCTTAAGAGTGGTGAATTGTATTTTTAGTTTTTAGCGCCTCACACATCTATAGTAAAATGATCAAGCAGTCTCCCATAATGGGACTCATCTGTTTGATTTAGGGATTGTGCAGTAGAGGGCAGCAAGAAACAAGAACTCTGCTCCCTCCATCTTTTACAGTAGCATGGCTATGCTGATGCAATGTAGCTCTGTGCTCTGCTGGTGGCTGAGCTTCACCTTTCAAGAACACATGTTCATATTAAAAGTATCAGAGTTCTGGCAACGCAATTCTCACCAGAAGCAGTATGAGCCTCGAACAGCATCTTACATTCTCTCTCCCACAGGATGGTTGAACAGCGCAAGAGCTATTGATTTTTGCTGTACTACTACAACTAAGCATCCTTCTTTACCTTGGCATTATAATTTCATCTACTATTTTTATGATGGTTATATTTTAAAAATGAATTCTGTTTTTAAATTAGATGCTGTAAACTGCAACAGGAGCAATTCTTTGGTGGAAAAAAATGGATAAACATCTTCTCTATCAAGTATCATTCTCACAGAGCTATTCAGAAATAGCCAAGCCTGACTTGTCTGTATTCTTTTGCACACCTAGCCATCACATGTCCTGAACACATGTCATTCTGGGCAAGAGAGCAGCAACTTACCATAGATCAGCACCACCACAACTTGTGTTGCTGCATTAATGCCATGGCAAGCATTCCTATGACTTGCTTTTCTTTCACTCATCACCATATCACAAAATCCAGCCCAGTTGCCAGTCAATGAAAATTCAAGTACTGCAGGTAGCTGGTGTGCACTAGGGGGCAGAATGAGCCCTGTATTCCTTTTCCCCACCCTCCTCTTCTCCTCTATGGGAAATGACAGCTTCCTCTTGCAAATAAACCGGGAGACTGTGGTTTGAAGTCTTGCCTACCAATAAGGATGCAAACCTCATGTGTGCACGTGTGCAAACCGCTGATCTGGTCCCTGAGCCTCTTGGTCCACCTAACCTTTACCCAAGCTGGGGATCTGTCTACCTAGCTCAGCCAAATGGAAAGCCCTCAAGCAAAGTCCAGAGGTTACAATTTTACCCTATTCAATCTGCTCATCCCCCTCCCCAAACAATGGGGGTCCCATGTAACCACTGTGGCCTAGAGGAAGGGCTACCATGGGCTTTGCTGGAGAGAAGTAGGTGGAATGGGCTTTGAATAGTGGAACTGAAAAAAAGTGAGATGGGAAAGGGTTGATAAGGTGGGTGGAAGTAGCCTCCTTTTTGGGGGTCACCTGCCACCACCAGCAGCATCCAAATGCCAAGCAGAATTGGGAACATCTTTTCTGCTCTTACAAAGACATGAAGAGAACTAGTTCCATGGAATGTGCTTCACAACAAGAAAAGAAATCTCATTGTTGAAACAGCTCATCAAGCCTCAAGCCCTAACTGGACCATGTTATTTTAGCCTTACATTACAAATGCCGTTTGCTTTCTTACTTAAAGAAAGTAAGTACACTTATATACCGAGCATGTATATGACATGTAAAAGACATGGGCATTAAAGATGGCTGGAGAAACTAGATGCTCAGAATCTGGAATCTTTATGGGTTCCATCCAATATTACACTAATGGGAAAAATACAACAATTGGTATTGTTCTGCTAGTAGCTGTACAGCTGATAACAGAACTAGCACAAACAATTCTTAGCTTAAGGGGGTGGGATGGGGGCAGAATGGCTTGTGAAGCAGCTGCTGCAATACTTTGTTCAAAACCATACATAATAATTTATTAAATATCTCGCACAAGAAAAATCAAAGTATTGGAACTGACACTTCCATAAGGATGGAAACAGGGAGTACAAAGAGTAGAAGCTTCCCAGATGACACAACTGGATACAAGTCTGGGTGTTCAAGGGATCCGGCACACTGTCTATGTTGTTTTAGAAGGACATCTGGACTTACATGGAAGTAAGTCCACTTTTACTAAACCTTTTAGCATTATATACAACTGAAAGAGGCTGGCTAGATTGGCTTGCTAGCATTATTGAATTGCATAACTTCTGTGCCAAGTTCTGGAAGCCCACTGCAGCCTGATCAGAGGGCAGTAACTGTGGGCACAAACTTTCTTACCCTTTGATGTGCTACATGTATATGACAACTATTTTTGCAATGTGAATGTTTTTGGCACTCATTACATCATAAATTCAGCTATCTAGACAAGATAGTAAAAAAAAAATACGGTACTTGATCTGTACATGGCACTGCATTTGCATAAATAGAGGCATTTGAAATCTCAGTTGAAAATAAGGCTCTGGGTACTTGTCTCCACTTTTTGTCCAGACTCCCTGCCTGTCCTTTGAGGAGGGGTGTTGGTGTTGGGGAAACTTGCGAGATAACATTATTTCTAAAATAGCACAGAAGTTTATGCATGGAAGTTTATGTCTATGGGCATGCACACCCTTTCCAGAGAAACAGAAATGGTTGGAAATTGTGAAAGGGGATTGTGAAGATGCAAGGGGTATGAAAGACCAGATCAATTTCCTTCTTTGAGTCTTGAGTGGTAATTGAATGTATGGGTGCAAATGTCAGTGTTCAAAACATTTTAATGGGAAAAAACTCTGATAATTGTAGGGCATCAGCTGTTCATCACACAAACTACCTCAAATTAGGCACACAAAATAGGGCTAGGATCATAACCAAATAATTCTTATTATGTAACATAAGTAAGCCACTTGGCAGTATTGAACAGCAGATTTAACAAAATTGGATAGAAGGATAATGGCTAGAAAGTGAGACATTACAAATTGTCCAGGCCAATCATGTGAAGCATCTTTTTCAAAAATGAAGATAGCAGTGTATGTATACATGCAAGTATGGAGAAATGCATGACCAGTAGCATGACATAAAGAGAGACCTAGTAAAGACATGCTACAAGGAACATTCACCAAATCCTAATTTTCAAGGGCAAGAGAAAAATAGCAAGAACCAGGGAAGAGCGTCTGAACAGATTTAATGGATCAAGGGTTGAAGTGACAAGTGCACCAGCTTTTCATGCTATTCATAATTAATTTGGGATGCAAGCCAATTCATGTTTAAACATAAAAATTATCCTAGGATCTCCCATGCTGGCTAGGGAAAGTTGGGAACTGTAGATCCTTTTTCTGCCTCAACATTCACAGGGATCCATACATAAGTATATATAAGCCTATATTCCATGTTCTTTCTCAAAACAAAACTCAATATGATACACAAAGGAAGAGGCAACTATGAGAAATACTTTAAAAACCCACCTTAATAATTTAAAATAATAACAGAATTCATTAAGACAATGAGGGTGTTAATTTATTTTACCCCAAATCAAGATTGAAGTGGGTAGGAGGAGTACTGTGTGTGCCTATGTAGGGGATCACTGGTAGAATAAGTTCTAAATATAACAACTAAATCCATACACACTGGGTTTAGAGTAAGGACTAGGTTTCATATTATTTCGCCACATTAATTAGAAACTAAAATGACAGGGCTCAACATGAGAGCCTCATCTAGTCTGCAAAACTGACCCCCACGTCCACTGCAAAAAGTAACTGCATTGATCTGGGAGGGGGAAAACATCCAAAGTTGGGCAAAACCTTTATTAGACTCAATAAAAAGTTCACAAAAGTGTGTATAAGTTTCCAAGTTCTTTAGGAAACTTGCAAAACA